CTGCTTTGTCCTTGTAGGGGGGGAAAGTGCTCAGAAAAGGAGTCACTGAAGTTGTGGAGGTGGGAGATCCTCCTGTTGTCTTTGAGGAATCCTTTTCCATATGCTCTGTCCTACAGAGAGAGTGTCCTTTCAGTAGTAGCTTTGTATAATAGTAGCTCCAGGGTTCTGCTTTCATTGCTGCTGGTAGTGAGGAGGCACAGCTGCCTCTCTGAGTAAAGCCTTGAAATTGGTACATGCAATTTTCTGCTGGAGAGAGTTCTCTTTTTCTTGTGGTGATTGAAGGTGCACTGTCTCCTTCAGGCACAGGCAACCTACCAGGACAGATTAGAAGAAATCAGAACCAGTCATTTAGACTCACTGAAAAAACAGTTAGAAGACAGAATTAGAGATCTTGAACGTGCACAGCGAAGGATAAAAAGCAACCAACCAGAAAGACCTTTTCAAAAAGAATCCACCCAGGCAGAAGTGGAAAAGTACAAAGAGCTCTATCTGGTGGAAGCAAAAACCAGAAAAAGCCTCGCCAAGAAACTGGAAAGGTAAGTCCATGCTTTTCTGGACTGGGAATAAAAGACTCCTTTTTCCTCGTGCATTTTCCTTCTAAAATCCCTTTTTTACATCTCACCAGCATGATGTGTGAAAGCAGAACATGGCATATTTGTTGGGAAAGTCCCTTCCCCTCATCAGACCCGTCTTCCTTTCTCTTTAAGAGTTTCAGCAGTAACACCACAGTAGCGCCATTATGGCATTATTGGTGTCTTTTTCAAGTTGATGTTGTTCTAGCAGGCAGTCTTTTTGCCAATCTCTCATCTCCTCATCCTGTGTGGGACAGAAAAGATGAATCTTGTGCCCTTTACTGTTTGAATAAGGAGAGGCCTCTCGGAGAACAGAGTTGGATTCTGTGAATCCAAACTAAGAACGCTCTTTCTTGGCTTCTGCTTTGGCAGCGGGTCTGAGCTTTCCTTGAGAAGGCCAGGGTAGGCCAGAGTTCTTATGGAGGTGACACTTGCTGCTCCTTGCAC